TTCTCAAATAGCTGAATCATAGAATACTGGATCTTTGTTCCCATGGCTTAGCAACCAAGGCTAATGTGCAGGAGTTATCACTTGGTAACAAGATAAATACTCTTGTCAAAGGTTTTACACTCCCTAATAAAACTCATTTCTTGTGCAGACTTTCTCACACTCATGGCTATCCTAGGGCTATATCTTACAATACACAAAATTTGTTTTCTGTTGCCCTGGATTTTGGGACCTTCCTGACTGTGTGCTTTATCTTCTTCACACACCCTGAAACTCTTGGCTTGACCACCTCTCCTCCCAGGAATTCACATACATTGACATTTTTCTTAGAATCATTAGCATGCTGAGTTTTATTGCTAATAAGATCTGATGTTTTTGTTCTTATAAAGATATTTTAAGTACCATTCTTAGTATTATTTTAAAATTATTATTTTTAACCATATTGTGATATATTTATACAATGAACTACAATACAACTATGAAAATGAAGTAGCTGCCTAAGTCAGTACAGAGCAAGTAGAAATCCACTACCCTATGGTTTTCATAACCTCAAAGAACATAGTATAATTACATTTGTTCACATTTCAAAACCAAGCAAAACTATAATATATGATGCAGCCCCAAATACACACATATGGTAAAACTCTAAAGAAAAGCAGGAGGATAATTAAAAAATTGCAGGCTAGTGATTTTGAGGGATGTGTGACTGTGTTCTGATAAAGATATTTTAAGAAATGTCTAGTGGAGAGTGTTTTATCTAAAGTGCCACCAAATTAACACCACAGAGGTAACTACCTTTATATGCTCCTACTCAGCAACAGCAACTTAAATCTCTAGAATAAATTATGTTATCAAAATACAAAAGCCAATTATTATAAATCATCTAGGTTTTAAATTAACAGTGTTTCATTATACCTAATTGAATGTCATTAATAAAATAATGTTGTCATATGTCACTTCCTTTTTAATGGATAATTTTATCATGTTTTGGATAATTTCAATGGTATTTCTACTGAAATAGAGGTGACATACTTTATGAATTTGTATATTCCACATCTGTTGGCAAATCATGAAAATGGGTAATTATTAAAGTGACAGTGGTTCCTTATTCTAAGTGGAGAGAACACAAACTTATTGTCACGTACTGAACATGAGTCATTTAGCAAACACTTAGTGAACACTAACTAGAAGTCAAGTACCTGTCTTAACCACTGGAGAAGACATCATGGCAGAGTACCTCATGGTCATTACCATCCAGCAGGGGAGATGGGCACTGAAATAGTTGAGATCCTACTGCATATGTATAATTTTCCATCTTTTCCTTCTTCACTTTTGATTATCTCATACACATTTTCCTGGAAGTTAAGGAAGTAAGGATAAGAGACTGTTTCATTTATTATCAGCTTCTACAGAAGTAATATGCCCTACAATGTAGGATTTACTATTTCAGGTTGTTTGGGAGAACTTAATGTTATTTATTTTATAATGGTAAGTAACACTGTATGGTGGTTGTGCTCTTTCTGTTAGTGACCGACTAACTTGGTCACTGCTGTGGTCTCTTAATAGCTGTCTCATGCTTTGCATTCTTCCTCTTTTGGATGTACTAATTTTCTTTTTAAAATACACTTTTTTACAAGTCATTTCCCTCCTCCAGAGTTTACAGTAGGTTTCATTTGGATTAGTGATCAACTCAGTCCAGTATCAGAGACTCTTCCATAAGATTGCTCCTCTTCCCTGTCCCTTCTTTGTCTGTAACACCAACCCTACTCCAAGCAGATTTAAAAAACTATTCAATAGCTTTTGTTTCCCATTTCTGTAATTTTCGTGCTTTGTTTTTCTATCTTTCATCTCTCTTAACCCTTCCTTCAAGGCCCCAACACACATTATCAGTCCTTTCCTCTCCTTCCTAGGACAGCATTAGCATCAAGTCAACTTGACTCTTATTTTTATGTTTTTAAAAAATATTTATTTCTCTGGTGTGTGGAAGTCTTGCTTTCTTATATTGAGTTTGTGAGATTCGTCTCATCTAGGCAACAAGGTAACTCCTAAACCTGATCACCAATAGCCACTCTGTTCTTCTGGCTAACACTATGAGGCACTTACTGTAGAAAGGATAATACACCAAGGACCAGGAAGACATCATCTCCAATCTTTCAAAAAAACCTATACCATTTAGGAATTCTTTTGATTGTAAATGACAGAGGACCCAAAGTGTCTAACAATGCTAAATAATACAGACTTATTAATCATTATCTCATATAATGACAATAAAAACTGGAGGTAAGTGGTTTCTGGCATTGGCTTAGGAGTTCTCTGATGTCAGGGCTCTGGTTTAATATCTGCAAGTTTTTCAGTCTTCCTCTGTGGTTATAACATGGCTTATGCATCTTCTAGCATCACATCTTCACACAATAGGGCTCAAAGTAACCTAGGATGGAATGATGTCAGGTTAGAAGTTTTCCTTTCATGTTCCCTTTTTATCAGGGAAACATTTCCTCAACATTCCCCAACAAATTCTTCCAGAATTCACAGCCCAGAAATGTGTTTATATGTCTACCTCCCTGAGATCAAGGGGTCTCTGGATAATACCTGGACAAAATCAGGATGTTGGGGTGTAAAAGGAAATTGCTTTTGTGTAGGCAATCGACTTTTCTTGCTATGTGGTGTTATCAGGAAATTAAAGGTTACAGAGTCTGAGAAATATGTGCAAGACGTACAACTAGTAACTGGCAAAAAGTGGATTGAAACCAGACCTCTCTAAGTCTTTCAGAATCCACATCCGTACTCACCATGCTGGGGTGCCTCGCTAGAGAGTTTTAGCATCTTACTCAATTCACCAAAAAAGTTTTAACAAGAACCCACTTAATGCTTAGGATTGTTTTTGCAGTAGTGTATTACCTTCATAGGAATAGAAACCTATCTGGGTATTATATGGTAAACTCGACTCTTAATAGCTCCATTTCTGTAGAGAAGTTCAATGAAGGTTTTAAGAGTCAGAGTGGGCTCCATGAAGCTGAGGTGTAAATATAACCTCATAGATTTGGGCCAGTGGGAAGAAGGATGACATCTCCCTTGAGAAGAATAACTTGAGTGAAAACTATCAGGTGGGAAATACCACAAACTTAAAAGTGAGTGAAGCAAAAGTTTGCTGAAGTTCTAGATCCAGACATTTGGTGATATGGGTTAAGCGGTAGAGTGTCTGCCTCGCAAGTGTGAGGCCCTGAGTTCAAACCCCAGTATTGCCAAATAAATACATAAATAAATAAAGTTCTAGATCCCTTCCGTATCTATAGCAAATTGTTGAGCTGTCACTGTGTGATTAAAGAATGGTTGAACAGACATTCAACTAGGTTACATAGACATTCCCAGAGAGGGGTCTCCAGAGGACTAAAGTTGAGAAGGGAAATAGCCCCCAGCCAATCGCATCTACTGTGTACTTACTGGAGGAAAGAACTGAGTGCTAAGAGATAATAAAACTTGTAAAAATATGTCGCGTTTCCTTCACGCTAATGGAGTAATTTAAAGAGTTGAAAGATCATTGTTGGGTTGTGTTTGCAATTCTTTTTATTTATGTCACCTGAGATCCATTAGCAAATAAAAAACAAGCAGTTTGGTTTTGTTCGGCCAGGCAGATTCCGAAGAACATGTTTATCCCTCTATTCCTCTAATAATACAAGAGGATTTAAGTTGTCTCTCATCTTTGTGATTAGACTCAATTAACAAGACAAGATAAGGGTCAAGTCCGGTGCTGTGGACGACAGCAAGGCTGAAAATCTTATGGATAGCTCAGACCCATTCTTGGAAGCTGACTGTGGTGGTGCACACTTGCAATCCCAGCACTTTGGACGCTAAGGTAGGAGGATTGCAAGTTCAAGACCAGAGTTATGAGACTCTTTCTCAAAAAATAAGTCTTGGTCTACTGTTACCTCAGATTGTCAACCCAGCCCTCCAGGCTCAGTGGTAGAGTTTGCCATAACCACCAAGGAGAAGCGCAGCTCCTTTCTTTCCTATGCATAAAAGTAAAGTCAAGAGAAAAGAAGCTATCTTCATGATGTGTTGTAAACTTTTTTCAATGAGCCCTAAGATATGAGTGTTTTAACATTCATAATTATATTTGGTTATGCATAATGTTTATTCTTGTTTTCAATATTCCTTTTGCTATATCTAGAAATTTGGTGATTTTCTCAGTCAGGTTTTTAAGATCACAATTTACAATCAAGACATATGATTTGTCCAGAATTATAAATCAACTTAAAGTAGGAAAAGTTCTTTTGTGTAATCTAGGGCAAATGAAAAATTCTTTGGGTGTGGCTTGTGAGAAGAGATTATAGTAGAACCCAGAACTATTTAAGATACTATATTTTGAGAAAATGTAAAAGTTTAAAATAGATAATTTCAAAGAAAAGAAAAACCCCAAAACATGTTTTTCTCTTCCTCCCTTATCCAAAAGCTCACTTGGTTCTGCCTAGACTCAAAAGAAAGAAAGGATCAGGTTGTCTGTCTACATTGCAAAAATTCCATAAGTTTTGGCTGTTAAGGTCCAGAGTACTGTGCAATTTGATGCTATTTTAAGCACAAGTACAGAGGAGAAAAGCTTGAAGGGCTGGGGGTGTGTAACAGGTTTTAGCTGACTCAAACTTTTATTAGCATATATTAATTGTACAATGTGGGGGGTTTCATTTTGATATCTCCATCATACATATAATATACCTTGATCATACTCCCCTCTTCTGTTACTATTAGACTGTAGCTAATTCTGACAGGCTCTTGAGATATTTCTAAATCCTTAAATTTCTGAATGATGTCATCTTGTCAACAAGTTTCTTAAACTCTGCTCTTTACGAATAAGCATTTCTTTTCTAATGATGACTTTCTGAGTAAAATGTTGAATCACACAAAGGATACAAATTAAAAAAGGAAAAAAAAAAAACAGTGTGGGAGGGGCAGAGTCTTATAAAACCAGTCATTACCATGTCTAAGCTGTGACACCTCTCCAAGGAGCACTTCCTGTCAGACCCAACTCGGAGAGTAACAAGGTATTTCAGCCATGGCCATCTCTGTGGGATACATGGTTCCATTGTTTATTTCTCTTCTTTCATACTGCATTATCAATATATTGAAATTTTAGATGTGGGATGCTTGCAGATGATAAGTAAAAAGTGTAATGGGATTTTCATTTTTAGTTGAAATAGTTTATTTGAATTAAATGTAAAATAAGACTTAAGTTTGAATCTCAGAAGCCATCAAATGCATTCATAGCATTCAACAAGTCAAAATTTATATTCATGTAAATTTTGATATCAGTGTTATTTGAAAAGGTTAGAATATGTACATTTGTACTAGCTTTTGTTTTGACACTGAGTTTGGTGGAAATAGTTACTTAAAATATTTTCACTTAAGTAATTTAAGGTAATCATTCCATTACATATAAGTAAAAACAAAAGAGGACTCAGTTTTCATCTAAAATTAACAGATAGAAAATTCAGAAACTAAGCAGAAATTTGGACTGGATTGATCCAGTATCACAATATATTTTCTGAATCTAGTTCAATAGTGGTTCATTTTCATGAAAGAGAAAAAAATTTCTAACCTAGTTAATGGTTTGACTAAATAGATAATACTGCTTTGGAGGCAGGTAATTATTCATTATGAAAGCCAACAGCTAAAAGAAACTGTTCCAATTTGTGGTAGTGTTTGATGGGATATTTCCTAGTAACTGGTGTTTTATCTTAGTTCTCATTGATTTTTATGGCAAATTTCAAAACAGTCATATTATGTAGTCACATAAATTATCACTTTATATGCCACTGTAAATTCCAATCTGACATCCAAGGCCAATGGGAAGAGTGACTGTGGCAGCGCGCCTTCTGGCACCTCCCAAATTCATTACCTCTGCCAAGTTTCAGTGGTGCATTTGCCAACTTGCATTACAGGAAGCTATGGAACCATCCTACATGATTTCCATTCATTCATCCCAGTGATGATAAGCATAATATTTGGAAGTTAATAAAGTTGTATGGCTTACTATACTGTTAGGAAATTCACAACAGGTGTGTCTGCTCTGTGGTATTGGCATCCCTCAGTTTTGCATTGTCTTGGAAGATTTCCATCCAAACATAAGTCATGGGCTTGTCTGAGAGTCAGGTACATTGTGTGTGTATGCTACCCTAGATTTCTAAAGCTATGAACGTTATTTGAAAAGTTTGTAGGAACATCACTAGACTTGGAATCAGAAGGCTGGGATCCTGCCTGGGCCATCCAATCTATGTCCTCATGCTTTCCATAATGTAACAGGAATTTTTAAGCTTCACTGGGTTAACAATTATGCAAATTAAATTAAAAAGGTAGCCGGAAGTAATTAGGTAACTGCAATAAAAACATCAGCTATAATTTTTTGTTAAATATAGTTAACTGCACCTCATTTAAATAAAGATTTCAGACTCTTTTTGTGGTGGGGTGGGGAGAGCATTTGTGTGTGTGTGTGAGAGTATTTGTGTGGGAGTGGAGTGGGGTAGATCTGAACCTAGGGCTTCACACAACTAAACAAGGTCTCTACCACTGAACTGTATTCCTAGTCTCATATGAATTTTTTAAGGAGGTAAATGCATTTAGGACAATTTGATTTTGATCTTATTAACTTTTTGTAACTTAATATTAAGAGACCTTTCTGATGTTTTGTCTTGACAAATTTTGTTAATATCAGCGTCACTGAGTGACTATGCAGATTGTTACAAAGGACTAAGAATAGAAGAGATTGATATTTACTTTTCTGGCTCTTATCTCTTATTTACAACTTCACATGAGAATGAAGAAATATTTTATTTACACTTTTAATACTCAGTTTGTTTCCAGAAGATGCTGGGATAATTAATTTAGAAAATCTATGTAATAAGTCTAATTAATTATAAAGAATTTTAACTCAGTAGAAGGAATAAGAAACAAGATTCAGAGCCACCTATATTAAACTAGTCTCTGTCATGAAGCAAGAGAAAACAAAGTTTTGTTTTAATTTAAGAAACTTTCTAGGAGCGTTGGAGATTCACTACTTTCCTTTTTCTATTTCCTCTTTCTAGCATTTCTCAAGATATTGCATAAATTCTGACACATCATAATGAATGTGTGCACAGCACGTGTGACAGTAGGGGACACAGGAGGCAGTGGGTTTCCTGGGCTTTAATCTGTATATATGAGCTGTGTGACCTTATACAAGTTCTTTAACTTCTAAAAACATCAGTATGCAATCTATAAAACAGATAACAGTGTCTTATCTCCTAGGGATGCTATAAAGATTAAATGAACAGACAAAGAAGAAAGGAAAGAATTTCAGGAACAAGTTTTTATTACATTTATTATTATTTTTATTAATTTTTTAAAATTTTATTCATATGTGCATACAATGTTTGGGTCATTTCTCTCCCCTTCCCCCCACCCCCTCTCTTCTCCCCCTCCTGCTCCCTCCCTTACCCCCCTTTACCCCTCGCTACCCGGCAGAAACTATTTTACCCTTATTTTAATTTTGTTGTAGAGAGAGTATAAGCAATAATAAGAAGGACCAAGGGTTTTTGCTAGTTGAGATAAGGATAGCTATACAGGAAGTTGTTTTGATAAAATGCAATTGGATCATACTTTAAATGACAAATTTTAGTACAAATTCCAATCACTTTCTTGAAAATGAACAATTCATCAAGCAAGGACCGGGTTCACAAAAGATGCCCATAGATTAGAGGAACAAAGTGATGGCCATCCTTGTTGTGAAGCCCCACTAGGCACCACAGCTGTAGACAACAAAGGTACCAGCTACAGGCTTACCTCATCCTGGGGGACTCCCAGCTTCTCCTCAGTTCTAGGAAACCATTGTCACAATGAGGTCTTCCAAGAGATAATGAGTGTCAACATCATTGTGTTATTTTTGTATTTTGATAAATATAGGGTATGTTTTAAACTATGATGAAAGAAAAACAGACAACTAGAAAGATGATGATTGTCCTGTATCAACACACACACACACACACACACACACACACACACACACACACACACACATCCTTTGGGTGTATCCAAGCATTCAGGTACACACAGAGCCTTAGATCATAGAAGGTGTGTCTTTCATTTTTCTCCCAATGGGTAATAAGCTGAGTGTATGTGTGTGTTTCATATATCTGGAATTGTCTCTGCATTCCTGTCTGGCACTGCCTTCCCGCCTAGGGGTGGAGTGAAAGAAGAAGGGGTCCTCATAGAAAATCCTTTTGTAGAAGGACTTTTTACAGAGAGTCCTTTTGTAGAAGGCTGTGTGATGTGTGTAGGGAAGGGATTAGTAGGAGATGGGTAAAGTAGCAACCCTCAAACACAAGTCTCAGCACTTTTAGAAGCAGGGAACTTGAAAGCAGATTGGTTGTCTCAATAAGAGCCAGCAAGAATAGGTGTGTATGTGGCATACATGAGCATGTGTATATTTGCATGTGTGTGTGTGTGTGTGTGTGAGTATGGATGAGGTGGGATGCATGGTGTGCATGTTGGTGCAGTATAGAGGCTGGGAACATGCCCCTGGAGGCTGCCTGCCTGGTTCCAATTCCCACTCCCTCCCTTTACAGTTGAGTGACAATGGTCATTTACCCTCTGTGTGCAGACATTTCTTCCTTTGTAAACACAAAAGGCAGTGCTTCCCTTATAGTATGAGGATTAAATAGGTAGGACAGGTAAAGTGTTTAGAACAGCACTTGTTATACAAAAAGAACCCAATAAGTGCCATTGAGTGTTATTGCTGTTATTATTAATGTTCTTAGATAGAGTGCCTTAAATTGTCATTACTCATCATAAAACTGCTCACCCTATATCTCAGGATTTGCTATGAAATTTACAGGGTGAAAAATGAAAATGCAGGGTCTTATTAGGTATTTCAAGACGGCAACAGGAGAGCATTGCACAAAGCATGGACCACAGTCACATGACCCTGAAGTTCTCTTTGCCCTCCTCCTTTTATTCCATGGAGGAAGAACAGAGTGAGAACCCCTATGTTATGCAGAGTACAGCCTGTAGTACTCTGCTGACCTCACCCAAAATGCTGCACCACCTTTTAGAGCTGTTTTTTTCCCTCACTTTCCTTCTAGGTTGAAACAATGGAGGACCTCTATGTGGCAAACACTATCTTTGCTCTTAACTTCTTCAAGCACCTGACAAAAACAAGCCCCACCCAGAACCTCTTCTTCTGTCCATGGAGCATTTCATCCACCATGGCCATGGTCTACCTGGGCTCCAGGGGCAACACTGAAGATCAGATGGCCAAGGTAAGCTTACATTAAACCTCCACATTGGGACTGAATGAGTTCTGAACAGAATTGTAAGAATCACTCTTGTTTTATGCTCAGATCATCTTGACTCTAAGGAGGCAGATGTCATGGAATTCTAATAAAGCACCAGCCCTTTACAACACGGATTCCTTAGACTTAAATCTATAAAACAATCAAGTCAATAAACTCCTTACTTGTAGATAGCAGAAGGCATATGAGAGTCTATTAGCCCACAAGGGTAAAAATAGTGTTATCTTTCATTTTAAGAATATAGTGTTCACTAAGGGGGTTGAGGAAGCAAGATTGCAATTTTGAGGCCAGACTAGGCCACATAGTGAATCCTGTTTCAAAAACAAAAAGAAAACAACCCCTCCCAATATTTATAATAACAATATAATACGTTTAAAAGTGAGTGTTTTGCACTCTTCACTTCCCTTGGTTTTAAGGTAAATATCATTGTATAGATGAGGACACTGGCGGTATGAATGAAGTGCCTATTCCAAAGCTGCACAAGGTATCCTAACCCCTATCTCAGGCTCTTACCTATCAACCTGCCACTGTGGTGTGCTTGTTCCTCATTCCTATAACGAATTCCTCCTAATTTTAAGAGAGTCACAGAGAGAACAGATGCATAATGCCTGTGGTCACCATACTTGCAGAGATGGCCAGGGAGATTGGTTTCAGAGAACCTCTCCAATTTGTGAGGTCATGTCCACACAATGGGACCTTGCATTGTGTATGGCCAGTCTTCAAGATTAAGTGGACAAAGTGTGAGGCTGCATTGTCTGAGATTTGCAGGAGCCCTTTCCCAGATGGCCTGACTGCTGACATCTTCAGTTGGACACTGCAATATACCTAGAGAACACTCAGCACATTTGAAGCTCCCGTGATCCTGTTATTTCCTGGGTCAGCAACTTGAATGTGGACATCATATAATTAAAATTCCTTTGCATTCACATACATGCAAACATTGAGACTAACTACTTTAAGTACAAGTGTGCATTGTGCTTTTGGTCACACCAAAATGCCAATGGCTGCTTTCTGGTTTCCCGTGAGAATTATATCTGAGTATAAACACATCCTCAGGAACACAGTGACCCATTTAAGGTGGGCATCCTTTGAAGTATGAAGTTTCACAGGGAGCACATTGGCCAATTTCCCTGCAGGAGGACAAGGGATGGTTGGATCACCCTCTGTTCTTGTGGCAGTTTAAGCATTGAAACTTACAACAAAACTCGGTTGCTCAACTCTGACACCAGAAGTATTTTGTAACAATCCTTCCCCTTTATTTTCTTTCCCTTGAAAAAAATAAAGGTGGTAAACTGAATTGAAAGTCTTAGAAAACAGGATCTTAAGTTTTTAAATGTAAAGTAATCAGAAATAATATATTTTGAGGGCAAACACTGAATGAGGTGCTCTGGGTTGTTTAGAAAAACTTGATTTTCATACTAAGGGAAAAATCAACTCATTGATCACTCTGGACACAAAATATCTTTTCTGTATCTTAAAAGCATTTTTAAAATTTGAGATTAAATGTGGATTTTAGATAATCTTATAACTCTACTGCATATGTGGGTTTTAAACTTCAAATGCTACTTTAATTGCTCCTGAATAAAAACAAAGAGAAGTTCCTTAGCTTGGAGGAAGAAGCATGGGTTTGGGGGCAGACCTATCTGTGTTTGAGTCATGGCTTTGGGACTCATTAAGTGTGTGAGGGCATCGAACCCTTCTAAGTCTCAGGTTTTTCACCTATAAAATGGAACAAAACTGCATAACTTGCAAGACAGTTGTGAAGATTAGAGTTAATATGTAAACTGTCTAGCAGCATTAACTGGAATAACACTAATACTTTTTAGTAATATAGCTAGGGAACTTTCTAAGAATTTCTTGAGAGTTTATTCACATATTACAAAATCCTATGAGGTAGATTCTATGATTATCATACTCATTTTACAGATAAAATTAGGATGAGGACAGGTCACCTAGCTGGAAATTGGTGCAGCTAGAAGAGGTAGTATAGATCTAATGAAAGAAAGAGGAAATAGATGGCATAAACTGGTAAAAAATAAATGTTTATATAAGATAAGTGTATAAGCAAGGAATGTTCAGGGTGAGACTGTGGAGCTGTCCAGGCCATGCTGCTCCTTGGCCTCAGTAGAGTTCAGGTTTATCTCACATTTCCCACTTTTGGAGGGACATCTCCGTAAGTGGCTTTTGGGTTTTCCTTCCAGCTAGGAAGACCCTGATTTAATGGTCAATTGCCTTGGATTGGAGGAAAACTAGAGGAGCTGTTAGAGGAAATACTTATCTCTCATAAGAGTACAGGGTGTTACCACTCCTTTTCAGATAGTATGGAAGGACCAATGGCATATATCTTAGAAGGCAGAAAAAGACCCCTCACATGTCAACACTTCTTCCTCTAGCCCAGAAACTTACCAGCTGGGTTGGACATGGCTGCCTTTTTTTCATTAGCAAAGCCCAACCGTTAGTTCATTTACAAATTCAGCTCTTCCTCACCATGGGTCCCCTGAGAAAGCGTCACATGATAAAAGGGTCCCAAGGTCACTGGAGGGGGCTGTAGTGGTAAGTCTGGCAGACCCTGCTGGGCAGGCAGTTGTGGGAGGGAATCTGAGGCAGCCTCAGAGAGGCCAGTCTTCACTCAGCAGCTTCCCTGTGTTGTGTGAAACTGCCCACTTACAATGAACGAGATTCATACTGTCATCAGATCCCTGCAGCTTGTCCCCCACTGGGATGTTAATGTCTACATGTGGATGACTATGGTATGTGTAAATATTTTGGGTGATCCTGTTAATATTGAATGACCCATTTTTATACTAAAACTGAGTGAGTTTGGCTTGTGGTTTTTTACAGTGTGAAGTGTGTTTGGTATATAAAGCCACCACAAAGGGGGCAAGATAAAAGGTTTGAGTTAGTTGTATTACATTCTTTAAATACTGGCATTTTTTAAAGACAATTTATGAGCTGGGCAATAATTTATCTAATTTAGGGAAGAGGTTATAATCATCTCAAAATAATAAATTGTTTTCCTAAATGGCCATTATATGAATTAGTAAAATACCTCATGTGGATTCCTGTAAAGGAAATTTAGACTGGTTGACAATCCCTTAGCATATAGAAAGAATACCTATGTTTGTTCCTCATATACAAAGGAAGGAAATGGACATAGGACCATTTAGAGGCTCCTAATAGCCATCAAAGTTAAGCTAATTCTGCAGGACAGTTTTACCATTCTTCCTAATTCTGATTGCAGGTGTTTCAGTTTAACAAAATTGGTGGCTATGATGTCACCCCAGAGAACGTCACTGGTTGTGATTTCATGCAACAGCTACAGAAGGGAACTTACCCTGATGCTATTTTGCAGGTATGTGGTTTGTTTGCTATTTTCTTTGTATTCTCTTTTTAGAACCTTCTTTCTCAAAGTCACAATGTTAGACTGGGAAGGAGCCTAGTACAAAAAAAAAAGCTAAGACTCAGAGTCATGAAGTAAATATCCTAAGGTCAACCAACAACAAAGGGCAAAGTTGGGGCAAAATCCAGACTTCATGAGTTTTAGCCAAGGCTATTTCTAAATTCTGTCACATCCCTCTGTCATTAGTTGGGTATATGTAATTTGTTTTAAAATTATTCTTTACTAAGGCTGAGAGTCTAGGAATAGAGATGTGTGAATGCAAATTTCTAGAGGAGAGATGGTGGGAGTAATTGAGGAATAATGAAGTCTAAGCCTGAAGACCACATAGGAGGCCACTGGCCCTCAGATATCTGCCAATCTCTATCTAGCTATCTATCTATCATCTATCTATCTATCTATCTATCTATCTATCTATCTATCTATCTATCTATCTATCTAATCTATCATTTGTCAATCATCTATTTTAAGCATTAGTATCTTTTTTACAATAATGCATTTCCCTAAATATCAGCTGTCCAACTATATTATAGGAACGAAGTAGGTATGGATGTGCTCCTATGGTAACCAACTTCCCCAGTCATGTCTATGATTAGGTTATGGGGTGATGTTGCCCATAGCTTCCTTCCTGGACACATTGGTGATCTATCCACCATCACCTAATGAATCAAGTGATAGAGGAAGTAGAGAAGACTCCTATAATAAGATGCTTTCATCAAGTATCTGTGATACCTGGAAGACTTGGTCCTCTGCTCCAGCTCATTGTTTCTGTGACTGAGCCCATCTAACACAGTGCTTACAGACTTCAGGCTGAGCATTAGAATTTCCATTCACTTTTGTGGTTTTCTAAACCCAGAGTATCCACTGCACAGGCTATCCCATAAAGGTGATACTTGCAGAAGCTGTCTGAATTTTGTTAGACCATTACTAAACTAACATTTTCCCTGAGCTTTCTTGAGAACTTCATAATTGACAAATAATAGTATATGTATATATGTATTCAATTTTTGCAATGTTATGATTTAATATACCTATATATTGTGAAATAGTTGATACCATCAAACTAGCACTTACGTCACAACAATTAGTTATCATGAACTTATGAGGATGGTGAGGACATTTAAAATAAATCCTCTTCTCAAACTGCAGGAAACAAAGCAGTATTAACTATAATCACCATACTGTACATTTGATCCTCAGAACTTATTCATTTTGTAAATATAATGAAAAATCTTTAGAGTCCTTGAAGTTTAGAAGTTGCAAAGAAACCTACATTTCTTTTAGGCTGCTGGTTACTTCCTGGTTGAATCTATTCTATAGACATAGTAAAATTTGAAACAAATTAAAATTTGCCTTTAAAGCTTTAACACACCATGTCCATATTAAAATCACTTCCTTAGAGATTCCTCTAAAGGATCAGAAAAACATATGCTTGAGTACAGCATTTGTTGTTATGTTGAGAAAATGTTATCATTGCTTAAGAAATATCTTGTTTAGCAGTCCTGTGTTATAAAAAGAAAATACTTTCTTTCTGCTTAAGGCACAAACAAGAGACAAAATACACTCATCCTTCCATTCTCTCATTTCTGCAATCAACGCTTCCTCAGGGGATTATTTATTGGAAAGTGCCAATAAGCTGTTTGGAGAGAAGTCTGCGAGATTCAAGGAAGTAAGTGAAGCCTGTAATTGAAATAGCAAGGCCCCAAATCACCAGTGAGATCACTTTTAAAGCACTTCTCAATTCGTACAAGCCAAGTCACAACTCTACTCAGTGTCCCTAAGGCCGGCCTCACACAATCACTGGCCTTTTGCTCCCTCTGTTGGTTTCTCCACTTCCTATCACAAATGTATTATTGCAGAGAAATAAATTAGGACAATGAGCATACCTGCTTTTCAGAGCCACTATTCCCTAAGGTAAAAAACCTCTTTGCTTATATTCAATGACTATAATGCAAAGAATGCAAGAGGTAGTTAGAGAAGGACCTGACATGTGGACAAAGCAGTTAATGAAGAATTTGTAACGCGTACTACTTTCTTGGTCAACCCCCACACAGCCAACTTCCATCCCAACTCCTAGCTCATGCCTCCCAGTCTTAATGGAAAGCCTGTAATTTATAATCACACCATGCCTTGCTCAACACATATTCTGTTGTAACCACTGGAATTTTCTTACTTTAAAGGAATACATGCAAGTCTGTAAGAAATATTACTCTACAGAACCCCAGGAAGTAGACTTCCTGGAACATGCAGAAGAAGCCAGGAAAAAGATTAATTCCTGGGTCAAGACCCAAACCAAAGGTAATATTTTTTTTCTCCTTTTTGCCCAGAAAACTCTGACGTATCTTTTTAAACCACCCTTGAACTTAGCCCTCATTCCCTTAAAATTTGTCCACCTTTAGTTACTCAGGTGAAGGTAACCTTATTCTCAGTTAGCTGAATAATGTCTTAAGTGAGAAAAAAACAGATGAGGCTCACCGATAGAAGATAAATATTCAGTACTTATATAGATTTTTGGCAGTGCTAGGATTTGAACTAAGGGCCTCCCTCTTGCAAGGTAAACACTCTACCACTGAACCATACCCCTCAGTCTTAGTACTTGAATATTATGATGTTTAGATATTATCATAGTCTAAACAGGAGAAAAGGCAGAAGTATTCAAATGTAGGAAATATCTGTATTAAGATAATCATGATTCTGCCCACTGTGAATGAAAACAACAAAGAAGCTCGCCTTTGGGAAACTGCCCTATTGCCGAGGGCTGTAAGAATACTGGCACTGGAGGAATGAAGCATTATGAAGTTATTTGGACTCTTTTCTTTCCTCTTTTTGGACCAATCCACTTCTTTTATTCCCTGCTTCATCTCATCTTGGTTGTCTAAACCACTGTATCATTTTAACTTCTTGATTCTTTCATAGGCTTCTGTTTCTCTTTGTATTTTTTTTAACAAGATTCAAACTTAGTTAAGTCATTTATTACTTTTTATTAAACTCATTCATTCAATCAACAAATGTTTATCACATACTATGTGCCAGGCACTATATATGTAGAAGAGAAAAATTGGCAAATGCTGGCATCACAGATTTTACAGTCTAGTAAAGTAGCTGTGTGATTAGATAAAACAGTGCACACTAGTGTTTGGAATACTGCAGAGCAGGAGCTCACTATAAATGATCTGTTTCTTAAACCATTTTTAAAACAATGACACACAGGTTGTTGTTTCTGAGAACCTCCTTGGGCTCCCTCCTCTACTCCCTTTCCTGTGTTGTCATGGTACATTGCACTATTAAGTCCAATTAGAGAACTTATTATACATTGTTTCACAACTAAATTTGAATGTTTCTTCTAGAACTTCAGGCATATCCGGGATAATTTTTTTCTCACCACTTGTATCTGCCCTATTCCTAGTTTATGTCTACCATAACTTATAAAATGTTTTGGAAAACCCATTCATTTTTCTAGACCAGATCTGGTAGGACAAAGTGGCACAGAAAATGCACTGTTATGTCCACTAAGAAACTGTCTTTCACTTTCTTTTGAATTGAATAATTCTCAGGCAACTGAAAAAAATTTGAGGAAACAATATAAAAGAAAGTGAAAATCTCCTTTCCAAATGTGATAGTAATTTTATATTTTAAATGCAATAAAATTTCTTCATTTTCTATTGGGTTTTACAACCTGGGAAATTTATTCCAATTTTACTTATGTTTTAAGTAAATCTAGAGAAAAAATTTGAGCTTAAAGATCAACATCTCTTCAGAGTTTAACAACTGTAGACACTGAGTTGATAGCTACTTGAAAGATTCAAGGATCATAACTTCACAGTTCTTGATTACAAAATGTAAACATATGTTGTATTTTCCATAGGCAAAATCCCAAACCTGCTGCCTGCAGGGTCTATAGATGGGGACACAAGGATGGTTCTGGTGAATGCTGTCTACTTCAAAGGAAAGTGGAAAACTCCATTTCAGAAGAAACTAAATGGATTTCATTCTTTCCGTGTGAACTTGGTATGAGACAACGAATGTATATCATAACATATGTTTTAGGTGTTAGAAAGACAGATTGAAAAGTTTAAAGACCTTTTACTGATTCTCCTACATGACTTGCTAGTTATAATTTATGCATGCTGGGCATTGACTCTTTCAAGCTATTGAATACTATTCAATAATTTCCTAAGAGACAGTATGAGTAGAGATGAATTTGTAATTATACATGCCTTTGCTCAAATATTGGTTTTACCAGTTACCATCTATAATCTTACTTATCTTCCATGCATCCCATGTTTGATCTGAAAAAACAGGATAATGTAATCAAAAACCATTTCAAAATGTTGTAAGTTTTCAATAAAATTAGCAGAGCTTCTGGCCTGAACTAGGTATTGAACAAATGTTTTAATAGTATTATTATCATCTATGTTTTGAAAAAAATAGATACAAACTTGAAAAGCTATTGAACTTAGAATATTTACTCATAGGATGTACAAACAATTTACTTTGTTGATTCTAAAAACACATCTCTTCAACATTAAAGTAGAACCCATTCTCTTTTATGTTCTATTGTAAATCTTTTGGCATCTTAGAACCAACTTTCATATTTTACTTTTTCATAATTGTAGACTCAGCGTATTCCTGTACAGATGATGTACTTGCGTGAGAAACTGAACATTGGCTACATAGCAGAACTAAAGGCTCAGATTCTAGAGCTCCCATATACTGGAGATGTCAGCATGTTTCTGTTGCTTCCAGATGAAGTTGGTGATGCATCATCCACTGGCCTTGAGTTGGTAGGGCATTACAACTTCAGTTTTTTTAAACTTCTGGGACTGCACCTACTTTTCGTGAGATGCACAGTTGCACGTTAGGCAATGGTGTGCAATTCCTCACATAAGTGTGTGAGTCAGTTGCTAATATATGTGTCATATCACAAAATCTCATTCTAAGTCTTAAACATACGTCACATATGTTACTTTAAAACATTCAACCAATCTGGGGTTGGGGGCGGCTGGGTGGAAGTGGCACAAACAATGTGTACACAAGTAAGTAAATGTAAAAACGATAAAATAAAGGGAGAAACAAAAAAAATTCAACCATTCTATTACATTTTTGTATCATCCACAGTGTAGTAAGATCAGATTTTTGACCTTGGAGTTGTTTCTCTTCCTTTCGCAAACTCACTGTATCTTTTGCTTTGTTTTGTTGTTTGATTTGCAGCTGGAAAATGAGATAAACAATGACAAACTCAACCAGTGGATGAGCAAAGACACAATGGCTGAAGATGATGTTGAGGTCTACATCCCCCAGTTCAAATTAGAAGAGCACTATGAACTCAAATCCATCCTGAGAAGCATGGGCATGGAAGACGCCTTCAACAAAGGCCAGGCCAACTTCTCAGGAATGTCAGAGAGCAACGACCTATTTCTCTCTGAGGTGTTCCATCAAGCCACAGTAGATGTCAATGAGGAGGGCACGGTAGCAGCTGGTGGCACTGGGGCTGTTATGACAGGGAGAACTGGTCATGGAGGCCCACAGTTTGTGGCAGACCACCCTTTTCTCTTCTTTATCAGACACAACATAACCAAGAGCATCTTATTTTTTGGCAGATTCTCCTCACCCTAAAATTGAAAGATTCTGTTTCTGCCCAGGCTCTTGCTGCATGAGCTATAAGTCATAGCATTTCTTTCAAGTGTCAAAAGTTTAGAGACTTTTCCACTTACATATTTCTGTTCTTCTGAATAACTTCAGATACACATTAAATATAAATCCAGCAATAACTTCGCAGCTTTCAATGATACCATAGCAACTTTTTAATCTCTAAAGTGAGATGATGCCCATTTGGTTCTTCCTTCCTAGTTCTTTATTTCATAGCATTAACTTTTATTGTGTTATTTATTATTTTATATAATGACAATTTAAAAAATTATTGCTTGCTATCTATTTAATGTAACTGATAGAGTTACAGAAGTAGGTGATCAGTTAATTTTCTATCTAAAGAAATGCGTTCACTTCTTCTTATAATGAAGTATTAGCAGATGTTCTTCCATAACAAATACCTAGAAGAACGCATTGAATATCAGGCAGGTATATGTTATGTGCATTTATAGCATTATGTATAACATATGTATGTCTATAACTCATGTATAATTGCAAGTATGTAATAAACATGTTTACACACAACTGTTCACTGTCATTCCATTTGGTATGCAGATCATAAGATCTGTTATTATTTGTCAAACAATTCAAAGGCTTGTTACAAGTCTTTTACTGTAACAAAATACTTGAGATAATTCATAAGAAAGAGGAAACGTTTATTTTGATTTAGGGTGAGTGGATTGGGGTCGTGTGAAAAATGGGTTAGAACTACTTTTGCACAGCAGCAAAAGGCATAGTAATTCGGAACACTCTAGTTTAGAGATCTTCAGGGAGCCCCTGTCTAACTTCAAGGATACCATAAATGCTACCAAGTCCAGTGGTCCAGACACAGAATCAAGGTCATGGTCATTGAGCACGGAGTTCAGAGCAGTGCAGATGGATTGAATGCAAAAGGAGGAGAAACATAAGACAGTCCCTTTTGAGGATGTTTATTCCAAAAACACTGAATGCTTTGAATGAGTTGGAAGCAGAGCAGAACATAGAACTAAGAAAAAAATCGTAGGTTTGTGGGCTCTGACTGGCAGCAGAGTCTGGTTGCAAAGGTGTGACTGGATCCTGGAAATGCATCTGAGGCACCACTTCCTATGATGAAAGGCAGGGATGTTGACCCACTGGGGAATGGTGGCTAAAGTAGTTTTAGATCTTGACTATGCATCTAAATCCCAATTCTAACACTTAAAAATAGTCAAACCAAATGCTAAGTATGGAGCTTTTTTTTGCTTTAGTTTTCTTTCAGTGTAGACCTTTTCTTTGTACAGTTGATATGAACTCATGATAAAATGAGTTCAAATTAAGTAATTAAAAGAATTTATGAGAATGCTTTGGCGCATGTGGTATTTAATAAACTGATTACCATCATCATTATTGGCTACATGTAAGGATAAACACAAAATCTCAGGTAGTTATTTGGTTATTTTATTTATTTATTTATTTATTTTTGCAGTGCCAGGGCTTGAACTCAGGGTCTACACCTTGAGACACTCCACTAGCTCTGTTTTTGTGATAGTTTTTTTTTGCAGATAGGGTTTCATGAATTATTTGCCCAGGCTGGCTTCAAACTGCAGTGCTCCTGATCTCTGCCTCTTGAGTAGCCAGTGCCTGGCTGGTTACATATTTAAAGCTCTAATCATATATTTGTGAAAATTACAAATTTTTGTCCCTTGTATTCTTCTACTTACTTTTGTATTCATTTTTCTATTAATAATTCATTCAGTAAAAAGGTAGGTAGTAGCTTTCTGAATAGTTTTGACTATTAAGACACATCTTTCAGACCAGTGGCTCACAGCTGTAATCCTAGGTACTCAGGAGGCAGAGATCAGGAGGGTCATGGTTTGAAGCCAGCCTGGGAAAATAATTTGAGAGACCCTATCTCTAAAAAACCCAGCACACAAAAAAAGGGGTGGTGAAGTGGCTCAAGGTAGGCCTGCAGGAAAGCAAAACAAACAAAACAAAACAAAACAAAACAAAACAAACACCCCACCTTTCACTCTCACTATTATATTAGTGTAGAATTCTAGGTTCAAAGCACTCTTCAGCACTTTGAGGACATGATTTTGGAAACTTTTGGCATTCAAAATTTGCTGACTGGAAAGTTTATGTCAAGATAATTCTTGCGTCTTGAGATTTTGATAATTTATGTTTTGCTCTTGACATTTTGGGTATTTCATTGCATTAAGAGCACTGTTTTCAGTTGATGTAGCACTTTTTTTCCAGATTGTCTTGTTCATCACATCAGCAGATTTTTCCATTTGTAGACCTGCATCTTGGATCAGTTCTAGGATACTTTCAGCCACTTTTATGGACTGAATATTTTTATCTGTCCCTAAAATTCAAATGCTGAAACTCCAATCTCTCACATAATGATATTTGAAGGAGATAGGGACTTTGGGAAGTAATTTGGATTAGGTTGGGGTATGAGGAGATGTCCCCATAATAGGAGTACTTTACATGAAGGAGATGAAAAGCCCAGTGCTTTGCGTCCACTACGTGATGATACAACGAGAAGGCAGCCATTTGTGAGACAGGAAGAGGTTCTCACTAGACCCTGACCATGCTGGCATTCAATCTGACATCTAGCCTCAGAAACTGTGAGGATAAATGTTTCTTGTTTATACTACCCAGTCTGTGTATTCAGTTATCACGACTTGAATGGGCCAAGATGGCCAGTACTTACCAATTGCCCCAGCCCCATTCTATTCATTTTCTTTTTCTGTATTCTTATGACAATAATTTTGAGGGAACTGGAGGTCTTCTCACTGTTTCTGAAATATTTTGAATGCTTAATAAATTTCCACTGCTCAAAACATCAATTTATAAAAAAAAAAACAGAGCAAAATCTCTCTTTCGTAACCTAATTCTTCTTCACTTAGTTTCTGTCCTTGTTTTCCCTATTAGTAACATATATACATTAGTAACATATATAGGACAGGCTGTAAGTAGAACAAATAAATGAAACTGTGCTAATCATACTGTATTGTTTAAGTTATGATTACCACTTTCTCTTTTCCTGCCTCTAATAGGCAATGAAATAATGCTCCAGCATGATCTTATTGGTATAGGCAGTATTTTTATTAATCAAGAGGTAAGTGGGAAAGGAACCTAGAAAAAGTCTGGGGAAAATTGGGTAAAATGTAGTCTCATGACTTCAAAGAAGACGAAATGACTCCTTGGTTGATGCATCAAAATCTACATTGATATATTTCATGTAATATAAACTAGAACAAGTCTTCTTGTGGAGCAGTGATGCAGCCTGAGTCACTCTGCTGAATGGTTGTCAGTCAGGGCTAGCAGTCCGTCTATCTGGAGACTGCATACAATGCTCTCAGCTAAGAATAGTGCTGGGGGAATTCATAGATAGTAATATCTGCTCAGCACAGGTCAAGCAGGCATCATAGAATTTCCTTCCGCAGGTCTCTTTACTGAGAAAACTGGAGTAACCCTCCATGGTGTGCTCACACCAACTTTCAAGATTAAGCTTGGAGACAGTTTACCAGAAGATATGCATGCTCCTGAGAAGGGCAAATGGTAACTGCACCAAATGCATTATAGAGAGGCTTCTCCTTTTCCTCAAATGCTTCTGGAGTTTTCTTTGTATTCTCATCTTTACCCCATCCATTCACTATTCCTCCATGCACATGTGAATGAAACAATTGTCCTATTGTTTTTCCTTTAATAAATGAGGAGTGAGTCAATGAATTTTATTAAGGAAAAATAAGATAACTAGAAAATTATGAGCCAATGTTCCACTGAATAACTATGTCTAAAACACTCATCTACGACTTTGATCCTGCTTGTAGGGGGGAACTCACAGCCCAGTCACTGGAGTCAATGCTGGGTCACTGCAAATAGGAAGAGAAAACATCCAGGCACCTCTCACACAGTGCTCTAAGGGCATCTGTAACAAGTTAACAGTAAATAATGCACCAATGATATTTTCCATTTCCCATAGTTATTCCACTAATTTGAAGCTTTTTATTTTTTTTTATTTGCCGGTGGAAACCATGCTAATTGCGGTTAGTTGGCAGACCAGAGAAGGGATTAAGATGAGAGGGTGTATGTTATATGTCAGCATTCAGGTCTCTACATGCACACAGATATGGAAAATGTGGGTAATTAAATAACTCAGGCAAAACCTCAACTGTCTATCTCTTTTTATTTGAACTTCTGTCCAAGATAACCCTGAAAGGAAGAGTGTACTGACTTGTGAAAGTGAATTAAAGGGTGGAGCTAAGAACAAGGTGGGGCTATACTTTTTAAAAGCTTTCTTCAGTTAAAATTACCTAACTCTTCAGCCACAATCTCTTACTAAAGGAACAAATTATCAATTCTGCTCCAGCAGAGGGAAATAAGGTATTGTAAATATTTCTTTGGTTAAAAATGTTTATTTATGTTTTTTGTTATTATAGTGCCTAACTAAATAATAATGACCAAGAACTCTCTTTCAAACTCAGAAATAATAAATAAGATTCCATACCCTAAGCATTTTACTGTAGAAGTCAGAGACTTAACCTTATGAAGGCTCAAAATATGTACCGAAGGCTAAGAGGAAGACAGCAGTCATTTCAATGAAGTTAGAACAATTGTTTTTTCCAGGAATTGTGAAACCATGAGTGAATTCACAAGTGGATTTGTCACCTGTAGATCTCTCAGCTTAAGCAAAAAAAAAAAAAAAAAAAAAAAAAAAGAATATTCTCAGAATGATTGATCCCAAACTCTCATAATCCTTCAAAAGTATGGGATCAGCAACATGAATTTTTGATACTCATTATTAATATATGGAAAGGCTTGATGCTCCTAACTGTCCACCGCCCATCACTCCCTCTTCTGCCTGGCCACCATTCCATGTGCTCTTAGCTTCCTGCAATTCTATGGGGCATTTAAGTCCCTGTCCCTCCCTTTACATTAGGTGTTCTTCAAAACTACCTCAAACCTCCCTCAGAAAAAGAATAGAGACGTGTTGGGAGGCAGGGAAATTGTCATCTTCTCATATGGTCCATTCCATAGAGGAGATAATATCATCAGCAGGGCAAGAGGTCTTGGGTCTTCACTCACGGGACAAAAGACAAGAATATATTTCCTATCCTTTTTCTTCCTCATTGCTCTTCTGATCTTCTTTCTCCTCCTGTTAGTCTTCCCTCATCACTTAATCTCTTTTTTACCTTTAAAATCTTAAAGACAATGAGCTACATTGACAAAAAATATTACATTCAAAGTCAAGAGAATAGGGTTTTGACTCTACTGTTAACTGACTGTACATTCTTAGTTAGCTCCTTTAACTTCTCTGGTCATGAGCTACTGTAGATAAGTGAGAATGTTGCATTAGGGAGATTCCAAGTTTCTTTTCAATTCTGATATGTTAGAAGCTTGTCTGCCTATGATGACACATTTAGATGAATGATACAATCCTTTTCTTATTTTCTTCATCTTCTTCAGTGTGAATGGAGACATACACACACACACATTCAGTTTATAACTCCTGAAAACTGTAAAAGAACAATAATTAATTTTGAAAATGACGTGGTAGGCTGCTGATTGCTTAATACTTTGTATGGATAAATTATTTCCTCTAAAACCTCATTCCAAAATTCTGCACCTTTCAGAAAGTATTGAGTGACTGGTTTAGTACTTCCTTACAATTCTTCAAAAAAAGAAAAAAAAAGATCAGGGATTGTTTTTCTTGTGTTATGGGCTACATCTTATATGTAAATGATGATATTAATGAAGATAGTAACGAGGCTGAAGACAACTAGATACTCACTCTTTACAAGGAACTCTTTTATTGCTGTTTATAGGAATTTATTACACATGAATAAACTCTAGAAGAACCATAAATTTCAGGTAAAATGGCAAAGTTCCCAGGCCCTAAGATATTGCTTTCATCCTCCTTCATGATGAATATTTTTCCAATGAACACAACTCATGTTCAAAAGATAAAGCTTAACATAAAGGAAGTAACCAAAATGTCATTTGAATGAATATAATCTTAAAGAAAATAGAGAAGTTATTTCCAAGTTGGTAATTTATTTGTCAAGATAAGACACAGGCAAGTTTCTAAACATTTTATGAGGGCATAGAATTATTATAACACAGGAAGGATTTTTGTTTCTTTTAAGGTCAAGTAATGTTAGTCTGGGATCAAATGTGCTTTTGTAGTAAGGAGAAGCCACTCCTAGGGTGTGACCTATAGGTGGGGAAGCTGCTTCCTTAAGTGTAAGCCTATCTTTGGGAGGGATTTCAACAGTATCATTGTTTAACTTCAAATCATGATTAAAGCAAAACTGTCTATACATGCCTCTCCCTTGATTTAATTATTTGTCCACAGACAATCTCTCATTCTAGGTTTTAGGGCAAGACCAAACTCTACACATCACTGGTTCTAGCAGGAGTTAGAATTTGCTTTATTTTTAATCATTTAGTTAATTTGAAAATTATTTGGTCATAAAATGACAGTAGCTTTAACTAGATTATGTATTTGATAAGGACTCAGTTTTAAAATACATTTTAATTGATATACCAGGGTAATTAAAGGTGAAGTTTGGAAGTTGAATATTATAACAAAAAAGATGAGAAACACTGGGTCTTCTTGTTTAAGAGTAGTGAATGAGAAAAAGGTAAAATATTGTCAAGTTTTCAGTAAACAATTCCTATATAATTTTGCATGGTTTCAACCTCAAGTAAGTTAAAAAAAAAAAAATGGTGGCCAGGGCCCAAGCAATGAATATAATAAAGAAGTAATAAACAATCATTTGTAAGTACTTGTTTTGTGCAAAGTCCTGAGTTAGGTGCTGATGGATATACAAAGCAGTATGCAAAGAAAATTTTACTACCAAGGAGCTTGGAAAGACTATTTATGAACATGAATTCTCGAATTGTGTTAAGTGTCAAGCAATCAGCAAAAGCTATGTCATGAGACTCAGATACTAACTAGTAAGAGCCCAGTTGTTCTCTAATGCACATTGGTATTTAAATTCTCCAGACTTCAGGATTGTAATATATAAAACAATAATGTTGAACTAGAACTCCACTAAAGTCCATTCAGTGTTTATAAATTTATGTATATATGGGTATTATTTATATTTGGATGGACAAACATAAAATAAATGGGAAGGATTTAACATTAACATGTTCTCTGTTTTTTGCTTTACTTTTCTTAGGTTTTTCCAATGGACTCTCTAGTGACTTCCATCAACCAATTTGCCCTGGAGTTTAGCAAAAAGCTAGCAGAATCTTCTGTGGGTAAAAATATTTTCTTTTCTCCCTGGGGCATCTCAACTTCTTTGGCCATGGTGTACTTGGGCACCAAAGGTACCACTGCTGCTCAAATGGCCCAGGTGAGTGGGATAGGTGAACGTCCTCTGGTGACTTAAAACTAAATATTTTGACTTCAACTTCATTTTTCCCTTGAAAACTCAAAAACTCACATTTCATAACAATATTTTCCAAAACAAAAGATATGCTTAAAAATACTAGACCATAAAATGAAGTCTAGTGAAGGAAATGAATTTGAAAATTGTTTATTGAAAAATCCTTTAAGAATCTGTGTCCTGTCACAAAATAAAAAGAGAAATGATGAGGCTATCGATTGCAGTTCAACACCAAAACGAATTTTATTTAGATGATTAAAAAGTTTCAAGAAGAAATGAGTCAAGTTTTAAATCATAGACTTATTCAACATCTTTCTAATCACAGAAGGATTTTCTTAAAGATGTACAAATACAAAATGAAAGAATTCTGTTCCTGTGCCTTGTTTGGTTGTTTCATTCTTTAATCCCTGGTTGGCTGAATCTAAAGGGCTCAATAGTAGTATTAAAATATCAAAACAGTACTATTATTAAAAAACTATTGATTTGTTGTAAGCATCCCTAAAGCACTGTGTGTGTCCAAATATATAAAGATATATTTACTGAAATATATAGCAAAATAGCTATATGTATGAATGTGCACAATCAAGTATATGAATATATGCATATATATGTACCTATATGTGTAAGCAAATGTGTTTTATTAAATAAAAAGAAAAAGAAGAAAGTAAATACAACTCCATATCTTGGACCAAATGAGAGGCCCAGACAGAATTTCCAAAAGATTGTAGCCTCTGCCAATTGTGGAAATAGCCAGTAATTTTGAGTGAAGTTGTTACATGTTCTGTGAGTTTGGGCCTAGGATACTGGCTTGATCCTTGTATTTCAAAAATAGTAGTAAGTGTGGCTTAAATAACAGCAACAACGATAACAAAAATTCTTAGTTCACAATTAAGGGATGATTGTTTGATTAGCTACAAAGGTTTAGCCATTAATACAATAGACTTATACTTAAGTAGATTCCAATTTGAGTCCAATATTTTATCATTATTTTCCTGTGTGCTGCTTGTCCTCATTTAAAATGTTAATAGTTTCAGTTGCAAATGCACCTACTGAGCTGGCTGTGCATGTAAGTTTCTGTGGCAGATGGGGTTTGTTCTGCAACTGTGGGTCAGTGCAGCCTTTGTAAGATGTGTTTCATTCCTCACTGTGAACTGGGTCAGGATGTAGGAGCAGGAATCATCTGCTGCCTTCAGTTCTACCACTGTACATCCAGGGGAAACAGGAATAACCACATCCTTCCCGTTAACTTTCAAGTGAAATGCTGGGGGAACACAAAGATTATGTCTGTATATACCAAGTTGTGTTAAAAATGAGAACCGAAGCTCTTACAGAGAAACAAAAACTAAAATCCCTGTGTTTTCCAGATAATTGAGGCAAAGGTAATTTTGCTTATATGGTTTAAATGATGGTTTCAATTGAACACCTTTCCTTTTTTTCCTCTTATTATCATTTTAATTGATAATAATGTGTACATAATCATTGTACATATTTATAGGAAACAGTATGATAACACATGTACACAATGTGTCATGTTCCAATCAGGGTAATTCACATTTCTCTCTAATTAAACATTGATCATTTCTTTGTGTTATGAAGATTTGAATTTCTGTCTTTTTAAAGTATATACTAAATTGTTGTGAAGTAGGGCTTCTTCTTCTATTTAACTATATGTTGGAAGCAGTTATCCAGTCTCCCTCCATTCTAGCCTGTAGTAACCATTGTTTTACTGAGAATATAGAGAAAAAGCAAACTCAAACTCAGTTTCTCCTATTTTATTCTTACAATGCAGATCACTTCTGGTACCAGATGTGCTGGGTTTCTCTCACACACACACACATCAAACAATTAATGCAGTAGCAGACTCTGGCTTATTGTTCTCTAACTCAATTCAATTCTGATACTATGTCCCTAGAGATAACATCAGATCCCACAGGTTAGTCTAGTCCCAAGCTCCAGGATGCTTTGCCTGTTCTGACCAGCCAGCTATAAGCTGGGGTTCCCAAAACACCTTCGTTGGGTTCACATTGGGATTGCTGGAGTGGCTCACAGAAATCAAGGAAAAACACTTATTGCTTGATTATGAAGCCTAGAATTATTTCACTTAACACAATGATCTCCAGTTCTATCCACTTTGCTATGAATAACAGGATTTCCTTCCTTTTATGAATGTATAACATTGCATTGTGTGTATGTACCACATTTTCATTATCCATTTAGGTGTAGCATGTGAGATATGGGGAGGATTGTGGAGCTTCCATGCCCTTTCCCAGTGTGCCACAATCCATGAACTGCTTCAGTTGTCAAAAGCTCTCTGAACCCTGTATTTTGGGTTGTTTGTGGAGACTTCATTGAGTAGGAATGAGTGAAACAGGGACAACCATGTAGAAAGGTGATTGAACAAAATAGTGTGATTTATGCTCACAGATTGATGAGAAAATCCATACGGGCTGTCAATTCGGATTCTTCTTGGCCTCTCTGGGCAGCCTGCTTTCCTGCCAGCTGTGAGGCAGGTCCCTTTCTGAAATGGGGGTCTTATAATCAATTCTGGATTAATCCCTTAATTGATCCTATACTTCAACACCTAGCTCTTTTTTCAAAATGATTTATAAAAAGTGATATATGGGAAATGAGAGAATTTTTACTTCAGGGTGTTCCCAAATCATCCTAAATTCCCTATTGAAAAGTATTAAAATAAGGACACTAGCAACATAAATTGGACTTTTAAAAGTTTACTTAGGATGCAGTTGTTGACTTACTTTATTAGTTTGACACATCATTTAAGTTGAGTCAGAGCCTCCTTGCTTAGTTATTCGTATGCTCTGCAGTTATAGGACTAACTGACTTATACCTACAGGTATGGTAGATCATGTGCTTGCCTTTCTGCAAAGTATACTCACTTGTCTTTTTATTGAAATTACAGGTGCTTCAATTTAACAGAGTCCAGGACCTCAAATCTGGTCCTGACAGTGAAAAGAAAAGGAAAATGGTATTTATTATCTTTTCATATCCATTGCTAATTAAGGAGATATCATTTTTAACATGCGTATTTTAGTGGTTTGTTTAAGCAAACTATAATGGACAGCTCTTCTTAGAAACACATTAAAATTATAGAAAAGTTTTTCAAAGTACAAAATGTCTGTACTTAAAAAAAGTCATATTTCTCTCTTCCTCCACTCTTTTAATCCTCTCAAAATTCTTCTACTTTCAAAGATGTTCTTGCCTTCATTTGCAAGCTAAATATGAAGAAAATACCTACATTAACATTTAAGTTTTTACACTAACATTAAATTTAACATTTAAATTATTTTCATTAACATTAAAGAAAACATTTTGTCTTAGAATTGTTTTCAGTTTCACTTGTAATACACCTAATAATTTCATTTAGCTATAGGCTGATCACATAGATGTGGTTTTTGTTCAACATTTAAAAAATCTAATTCCTTTTGGTTTTAAGGAATTCAAGTCATCCAAGGAGGAAGAAATACCCTGTGACTTCCAGACACTTATTGCAGAAATTGTCAAGCCCAGCAATTCCTACATATTGAAAACAGCCAATAGGATATATGGGGAGAGAACGTATCCATTTCACAACGTGAGTGTCAATGTCTTGTGTTAAGCTAATAGGAAAGAAAGAGCCATGTGACACTAATCAAAACACTAAACATTTCTCCATGGATCCCAGGAACAATCTTAATATGGTCAGCATTTCTTGATCTACTGATCACATCATTATGTGTAGAATAAAGGGGGTATCTCCAACAATGGTCCATAAACACAGATAGAATTGTGTTCCCTGGGCCACTTGTTTTATGAGAAATAGAGAGAAAAAAAGAGAGACTGGACATTTAGTAGGGTACGTCTGATGGAGCAGAGGGTGGTGTTGATCTCATGACTGTGGCTGGAGACTAGGTCAGAGAGACCAAAGGTGACCTTGGGATGAAATTAAGGAGAAATTTTCACATCAGGATTTTAGAGGGCTTAATAATGATAGCAACTTCCCTCCTTTGGTGATGGCTGAAACCCCACTCATGCAGACCACAAAGAACTTGTGCTGTTAAGATCCAAGTACTCCTCAGAGTGGTGCAGTCAGTCATTTGCCTCTTTCAAGTTTGTTCATCAAATCCTTTGACAAAGATCAAAAGAGAGCAGGAGGATCCCGGCATCCAGGGGACAAAGATAAAGGATTTTAGATGGGGTAGAATGATAGCAATAAGGTAAAGTTACCTGTGGTTTCAAGCAGCACTATCCCTGTGCACACCCAGTGAACTCTGGGGAGTTCAGGGTTTGGCTTTGTTAATATTAAAGACATAAAACCAGGCAAATTGGGCTTTATAGCTAGTCGTATTGCTCTATCTACAATGTGAGTAGTAGGCTCATGGACTCTTGCTTGACTCAGAAGGAGGCAAGATGACTGAACTCACTGGACACTTGGGAACGAGAGGGTAATGGATATACAAACACTTTTTTAAGAGTCCACCTGCTATTGGGGCCTTGTGAATGTTTAACTTTTCCACATAACTCGAGTGTCACAATCATCTTTAAGCTACTTCCTAGGAACAGAATTAACACTCCATGAGGTAAGCAAACTGAAGGAACGCCACAGCTATTTGGACAGTAAATTATGTTCCCAAGGGATGTCTTTATAACAGCAGCCTTAGTCACAGCCCGTTTATGGTGACTGCCACAGAGGGTGCATGGTGAAGGGCCACAGGAGGAAGTCTAGCTTGAACTCTCAGAATACCCAGTGAAACATTTGGCCATGCTTAGAAATCAGTTTTCAAGGCAGCATATGGTTTTCTTCAGGGCCCTGCAATTTCCTGAGAGTTTGTAGTCCACAGAAGACAACTGTCAGAGCCACAGGTCTCACTGTGGTTCCATTTGGGCCACAGGAAGCCAAGCACAACACCAATATCCCTTGGCAACTGGGGTTACTTCTGTGAGTTTTATTCTTCCCTTTTCATTCCATTATTGATTCCAGGCATGAATAAAAATAGAGAAGAGTATATGGGAGACACAGAACTATGGGGAGCAGGTCTTCTTCCACACCTGGAGTTCTGCATTTGAAGAGGGGGAGTTGGGATTAGATTTTGGTCAAAAGTAGGAGTGGGGAAAGAAAAACAAAAGTGATGGATGGGAGTTTGCAATTATCCATCTCTCCAGTTTTTTTTTTTTTTAATCTTAATATGTCTGATTTCTCAGTTTGTGTATTTATGTTTTTCAGAAATATTTAGAAGACATGAAAACATATTTTGGTGCAGAACCTCAGTCTGTTAACTTTGTGGAAGCTTCTGATAAAATCAGAAAGGAGATCAACTCATGGGTTCAGAGTCAGACCGAGGGTAAGCTATCACCAACGGACTCAGCAGAGTGTGTTCTCCAGGCTTCATCTTGTTTATTTGAATTTGTGTTGTGTATATAACTATGCACTTTTCTTAGTTAGAACTGTGGACATATTCAGAACTATTATTTCTATTCATCCAAGAATTTTTCGATTTTTGGTGTTCTCAATAAATCTGGTCTGAAACATAGAATTCAGATCACACTTCACCAAGGAGACAAGACAATTATCATAGCTTACTAACTCCAAAGAAGCAGCCAGGGATAAAAAGCAGGAAAGTGCAAAAAAGTAAAGTATTTGTACTTTTTTAAGAAAAATAGCCTCTAATTAACAACAAAAATGTGACATTGCACGTGCAATATGACCTTAAGTATTTTTAAAAATAGTCATATATTAGTGTATGGGCTGAGAAACCCATTCATTCTCTTTTGGTTCTGGAGGCTAGGCATCAAAAGCAAGCCATCAGCAGCGCTGTGCTCCCTCTGAGGGCATAAGCAAGGAAGTTTCTCGTGCTTCTCCCAGCTTCTGGTGATGGCTGGCAATTCTTGGCATCCCCTGGCTTGCAGATGTATCATTGCAGTCTTTGCCTCCCTCTGTTAACACACAGCCTTCTTTGTGCCTGTGTGCTTCTGTGCCTCTGTATCTTCACATGGTGTTCTCCTCTCTATAAGTCTATGTCTAAATTTCCCTCTTCTTATGTGGAGATCAGCTATTGGACTGAGGCTTATCCTAACCCAGTATGACATCTTCTTAACTTGATTAAATCTGCAAAGATTTTATTTCCAAATAAAGTCATATTATCAGGTACAGGCAGTTAGAACTTGAACATGTTTTGGGGGGAGAAACAGTAAAATTAAGCCTGCAATAGTGACTGTCTCACAAAAATGCATACCCTGAATATTGTCTTGAGGAATCATCACAAAAATGCAAACAGAATTCAGGGACATTCTATATAAACTGTTCCACATCAAAGGGAGTTAAGAGGAAATTACAGCTAAGTGCAGTGTGAGATCTTGAATTGAGTTTTTGGCCCAGAAAAAAAGGACATTATTGGAAAACCTGATGAAATTTAAATATGATGTATTAATAGTTATTCTGGTAATACCAGCTGCCTGGTTTGGATCACTGGCAGAAATAAGATGTTGTTATTTAATAATATTTCATAATAGTCACTTTTATAAATGGCATACCACCAGGCTGTAATTATACCATTTTAAATTTCTTATTGTTAGAAGATAAGAAAATAACTTATTTTCATTTAATAGTATAATTCAACACCTAGAAAAGCTGCTAGTTTTGTTTTTTCAGTTCATTCTCCTTGCTTAACATATTACCTACAAATAACAATTTTGTCTCTTCCTTTTATATAATTACTTCTAACTTAATTTTCTTGCCTTATTATATTAGTTAGCACTTGTAGAAAAATATTTAGTTGTGGTAGTAATGACAGACCATGAGTGTTACTAATACTTCCTGGCTAACATAATTATGGAAATTTGCTGGACAAAATATTTTTTTCCATATTAGGGGGATATTCTTTCAATTTAATGTAGAGACATTATTTTAAAATTATAATTAGGTGATAAAAATAGATTAAAATTGTTTTATATATCCATCAAGGTGATTTTTCTCCTAAAACCCATTAAATTGATTGCCTTGGTTTGTTCAGGCTCCTATAATAAAATACCTTAGCCCAGGTAATTTGTAAGTAGTAGATATTTATTTCTCATAGTCTAGAAAGTGGGAAGTCCAGAATCAGGACCTCATAAGTGCTAGATAAGCACTGAACTGTGCTCGCATTCCCTTGAAATGGAAACTTTTAAAGAAAATTTTGTGGTTCCAGAAAAATGGAAATTTAGTTATATAATTAAAATACACATATTTACACTAGCCATTTGAAACCTGTCCTTTTACTCTTGTAGGTAAAATCCCGAATCTCCTACCTGATGACGCTGTGGACTCCATGACCAGGATGGTTCTGGTGAATGCCCTTTACTTTAAAGGAATCTGGGAACATCAATTCTTGGTGCAAAACACCACAGAAAAGCCTTTTAGAATAAATAAGGTAAAAACCTCAATTTTCGTATGACACTGTAAAATGAATTCTGTTTTATATTCACTCTTCTTTCTGATTTTATGTTCCTATAAACTATGGCTCTTATTAGGGAAGGGATAGCCGGGCTGAAGGTCTGGGTTCTATACTTTTTGTTTGTTTTTAGTTTGAGACAGGGTCTTGCTATGTAACCCACTCTGGTCTTGAACTCATGCTCTTCCTGCCTCAGCCTCATGAGTGCTGGGGTTACAGAGGTGCTCTGCCATACCTGGCTTTAACTTTTTCACCTCCATTTCTCTCATCATTCTTCTTTTAGGCTGAATTCTTTTGCTGCTTCCAATGCATGTAATGTTCAAACATAGCTAGCCACAATACCTCCTTCATTCTAGAGCTCAGGCTAATAAGCTCCATTCTGAGTTCCTAGGAAGGGACTTGGTTGGCCAAGGCTTATTGCAGTGTAGGTCAGGGGTGGGCCATATTGCACAAACAGTGCTGTTGAAGACTTATTGCTATAACTGTGTAGATGTGTGCAACAGGCATCTCTCAAACAGTGAGATTAGGATGGGGAAGTAACAAAATACATAATCCAGTAGGCTAATGAAAAATGAGCTGGATAGTTATCTAAGTTCACATATTCACAAAGAATTTTTAGTTGCAAATGATATAAAAGCATTCCAAACTAGCCCCAGCAAAAAGAGAATTAGCATTATATAACTGAGGGGAACTGGAAAGTCCAGAAGTGAGCAGTTTCTAGAGTCTTGAACATATTTTCAACTGTGGTGGTATCAGTATTTTGGATTTTTGCCCTTCTAAAAGGTGTGTTTATTTTGGGGCTCTCTAATGACATATGATTGAGCATATGTCTTTTTCTGTCTTCCTCTTCCTCTACTTTTTCCCTCTACCATCTAGTTGTCACCTCATTCTCTAATATAAAGATGGAATCTATCCATATCTCCAGGGAATATATTTGCCCCATACTTAACCTTCTAGCTCCACAATCCAAATAGACACAGAAAGTCTTTGCTATTGGCTCTAACATCACAATCTGAATAGGATTCTGGCTGGTGCCATTCTTGTGCTCCCCTGGAAATAGTCATTGTATCCTGGAGGGTTCCAATCCATGGCCACCATGTTGGCATAAGGATGGGGTCTTGTGATATTCAGCTCCAAGTAGAATGGATAAATAAGATGTGCACAACATCTGGATTGTAGGCTTTGTTTGGCAGTTGGCTTTATTTAAGAATATTTTATTTCATAGTATTTTTTAATGTTTAGAAAAATTGTTCAGGAATTCTAGATCCCTCTTGTGCCTCCCTTTTAACATACATAAAGTTTCCCTTATTATTAACATCTTGTGTTAATGTGGTATAATTTTATAGTTGATTAGCTGATATTGATACATTATTATTAACTAAAATCCATAGTTTACATTCAGGTTCACTGCTGGTGTCCAGTTCTTTTGGTTTTGATGAATCCATAGTGTCATATAGCCACCATTACAGTATCATTCAGAGTAGCTTCACTGCACTAAATGTCCTGTACTCCTTTATTTATTCCTCCCCCAAGTCCCTGGTGATCACTGATCCATTTATTGATGACAGGTATTTTCTTTTCTAGAATGTTATGTAGTTGGAATCATATAGTAAGTAGACTTTTCACTTTGCTTTTTTCATTCAGCAACATGCATTTAAGTTCCTTGATGTATTTTCGCCACATGGTAGATCTTTCTGTTTTGTTGCTAAATAACACTCTGTTACACAGATGTTCCACAGTTTACCTATCCACCTGTTGAAGCACATCCTTCCAGTCTGGGGTAATAAAAATGAAGAAAGCTGCTGTAAACTCTTGTGTTCGAGTTTTGTGTGGACACACATTTTTAAAACATTTGGGTAAAGCCCTAAATACACAATTGCTGGATTATATGATAAATTATAGTTAGCTTAGTAAAACAGTGCCAAATTGTCTTCTAAAGTGGCTATCCCATTTTGCATTCCCACTGCAATGAATGACAGTTCTTGTTGCTTCACATTTTTGCCAGTATGTGGTAGTATCAGTAGTTTGGATTTTTGCCCTTCTAAAAGGTGTGTTTAATTTGGAGCTCCCTAATGACATATGATTGAGGATTTTTCATAAGCTACATGCTTCTTTGGTGACATATCTTTCAGATCTTTTGTCAATTTTTAAAATTTGATTATTTTATTATCATTGAATTTTAATAATTCTTTGTATACTTTAACACCAGTCCTCTATCAGATATGTGTTTTGCAATTATTTTCTCCTGGTCTATTTCTTGTTTTTTATTCTCATAGTTTTTAATGATGTCAAAATATTTTCTTAAATATTTGCAAGTGAAATCTTCATTATTCAGTTTCTGAATAATTAGCATTTATATAGTCTGTATAATATTATATATATATTTTAAATTTTGGGTAAGTCTATTTTGCTATGGCATATAAAGGTTGTCACAATAGTGTTAGAGGCATCCTATATCTCTTATTGATGATATCTCTCAAAGTTTACTTTCTTGTCACTAGATGGGAGATGGTGGCTCAGTAGTCAAACATTCATCTTCATTGCTCAAGACACTCGGTGTAACCCCTTACTCCATTTATGGAGAGGAGACTCAACTACTAAAGCTATCAGTTGATAGACCACAACCTTCAGGTTATAGCAATCCATAATGAAGAGCAATAACTGCCACTGCTCCAGTATGTTTAGAGGAATCTAGGAGCAGAGATGAATTTTCATGATCTAGGAAGATCTTAGTTAATAAGAGTGGTAATGAAAAGGAGATAGGGAGGATAACTCTAATGACTAAAAGAATGTGTATGATTTTATAAGGTGGAAAGGATGGCAGGTAAACTTAGAGAATGGGTTAAGGAGATAATAATGTGAGATAGATAGAAGAAATCTAGTTAATACTGCATTGACCGAGAGAGGAGGAAGATAGATGGAGAAAGTTAAACAGACAAGCAAAATAACCAAAAGACTATGTGGTGACCCAATTACCTGCTAAAAGGATAGGTGGAAAAGGAGTATGGAGGTGGGAATGCCATCTCGTGTAGGCTGTTGGGGTCTGGGCCGTTAACCTACAGGCCCCACACAATTCCTGCTAAATGTATAGCTTCTCCTCCCAAATTCCTGCCAACTCCGTGTGTTGCTGTGGTCTGTACCTGGGTAGTCCTCTCCTGGGTGTTAAGCAGCCACCCTGTTCCATCCACTGCTAAGGTGCAGGCCCCTGCGATTTCTTAGAGAAAGTTGCGACTGTGTGATTGGAAGCAGTGGCCAGTACAACCTGGGTGTTGTGGATTTGGGGAGCCGGTAAAATAATTTACCTAGGCAAAGAGTGGGAGAAAGCAAAGATTTATTAGGCCATTAAGAGAAGAGACAAAGGTGGATGGGTACACAAAAGAGCTTGAGGGCTGGGGCAGTGTTTGTGGTTTTATACCTCAAGTTAGACCTCTTTTGATTGGCTGTTTCTATTTTTTGTGGCCCTTACTGATTGTTTGTCTCTTCCTGTGATCATGGTTTGAATTTCTCCCTCATAGGAACATCTTTGTTTTATTTGGGCCTCCCAGGGCCCATCTATTCCTTGGTATTCCTTTGTCTGCCATGTTTCCTTAAAATGAGAGCCTCCTCCACACTGAGGGCTCCATCTTTTGAATCCATGGGGTTTGGATTTCGGTGGGTTTGCTGTCTGCCACTTCTTATTGTTTCTCTGCTGCATTAAAGTCTGTGCCTAAGATGAGCTGGTTCTGCATCCGCAGCTCTCCATGGATCCTTGCTGCCTGTGGTTACAGCTGTTGTTCCTCTCTCATGGGCTGTTGATGGAATCAGAACAATTTTGCCACCAGCACTAACTTTCTTAGCAGTTCTGCAGGGAATTAGGTGTGAGACTAGCTATTCAATAAAGTATGCCTCCAAGGAAGAATGCCCGGGATATCACTTCACCATCTTGCTTCTTCCTGTTGGTGACATTCAGTAGAATTTCCAAAAAAGCAAGGTTTATATAACTTTATTTAGCATTTTGCAAAGGATTGATAATTTCACCAATGTCCCAAACAAGTGGGGACCTATGGTGAGTAAGAATTAAGAATAGCTGGGCTCTGGTGGCATACCCCTGATCGTGGCTACTTGGCAGGCTAAGATGGGAAGGATAGTGGTTGGAGGCCAACCTGGGCAAAAAATTTTTTTCTCAATGGCAAAAAGCTGGATATATTGGCACATGCCTTTTATCCCAGTGTGGGCTGGAAGGGTAAACTAGGATCTTGGGCAAACAAGGAGACATTAGCTCCAAAATACCCAGAGCAAAAACTGCTGGGTGCTTGGTTCAAACAGTAAAGTACCTCTAAAAAGTGTGAAGCCCTGAGTTCAAACCTCAGTACAGCCCTCCCCCCCAAAAAATAATTAGGTGATTTGGTGGATCACCTTTTCAATGACTTTGCTACTTGCTTTTTGTAGACTACGAGCAAACCTGTGCAAATGATGTCTATGAAAGAGAAACTTCACATTTTTCATATTGAGAAGCCACAAGTCATAGGCCTTCAACTCTACTATAAAAGCCGTGACCTCAGTTTGCTTGTACTACTGCCTGAAGATGTTAGTGGACTAGAACAGGTAACTCTGTCTGAGAAGAAGATAAATTCTGTATTTGCCACTTCTGTGATGTATAGGGAAACACATAAGGACATGACCTCTGTGTTTCTTCTTCTGTAGAGGAAGCAATCAGCCAACATACTTTGATCATTATGTATTTTACCTTCAAACATCACTTAAACATTGTAAAAGTCTGTAAATATGATATTACTCGTATACTTGATATTGATATTACTGTTCCTCAGAATGATTAAATAATCTATAGACACCTCTAGCATGGGGTGGTCACACAAACAGCCGCATGTGCAATAGATAAGGATACTCTATCAGTCACAAAGCTATGTGGATTGATGATAAAAATCTTCAGTTGGTTTAGTTCTTCTCTTTATAGTAGAACCTATGTAATTTAAGATTAATATTTTTTGGTGGTGCTGAGGATTAAACCTAATGACTCATGCATGCATTGTAAGACTACACTCTACCACTGAGCTATGCCCCCAGCCCAAGATCAAGCTTTTTTTAATAATCACTTGCATATGTATGTATATACACATCTATCTATCTATCTATCTATCTATCTATCTATCTATCTATCTATTATCTATATGTATATGTGTATATATATATATATATATATATGAGAGAGAAAGAGAGAGAGAGAGAGAATGTATCATGCCTATTTTCTTACATTCTTTTCAGTAAACAACCTTCAGGAGGAAAAGCCTGTACCAGTACCATCTTCATGTATTATCTTAGCTGTGTATCAACTAAATTTCTATTGAGCCTAACATAATTGTGGTCAGATCTTGCTTCTGGAAACTTGCATGCCTAAATGGAGCACTAACTTCTAATGTAATAGATGGCCTTTCATTTTTGCACAGTGTCTAATTTTTTGTATGTGCCAGACTCATAATACTTGTTTCTACGAACCTAGATTTCCTGTTTCTAAAATTTGTGAAACTGGTGAGGATGGTAAAAATAAGATCAGTGCGGCCCAAGAGTCAGTACAGTCACAGCCTAAGATAAGGCTTCTTCCTAAGAGTGTAGGGTCCTGAGCTGAAAATACTGTCACATTGTTAACATGCATCCTTTTTAAGTTTGTATAAAGGATTGTGTAAATGTATGAAGTTGTATAAATGTATAAACAGCTTTGATGTAAAAAACTCTCAAAGTAGCAAAAGTATGCACTTTGAAACAAATATGTCATTTAAAAACTCAAATCTAAATACATGTATAAAAGTATACATCTGTATGTCCATAGATACACACAAATATATGCATACATATGTATTTATTACTAATTTTTAAAAAAATATTAAGAGGAGTAAAAGCATCCTTATACTTACTATAAAATTTACTCCTAATATTTGGAGGTTTTCTTTTCTTTTTCGGGGATGATGTGTTCGTTTATAGTACTATCCTATATAATGAAAAACTTTATTTTATCCTAGATTTTGTTCTCAAAGAACTCTCCCACAATGAGAAGACTAACATTTTGTGTCATATATTAGTTTTATCATTGTGGCAACCAAATACCTGATAGAAACAACTTAAGGAAGGAAAGATTTATTTTGCTCATGGTTTCAGAGATTTCAGCCCATCTTGATGGGTGGGGAGGGCATGGCAGAGCAGAGAATGTCACATCATGGCAGATAAGAAGCAGAGCAGTAACAGGAAGGGGCCAGGACAAAATACAGCCCCCAAGGACATTTCCTGCCCCCATCATGACAAACTTCCTCCAACTAGGCCCTACTTCCATAGTTCCACCACCTCCCAATAGCATCTCTGGAAAGATGGTAACAGACATAGCCAAAGGTGTTCTTTATTGATCTCCTAGGCACATCTTAACTCTCATGTTGAAATCAAGATTAAGGATCACATGCCCTGGCATGTAACTTGTACTAGAGTATGTAATTATACTTTAGATCAGCATTTTTATTTATATTTGATATATTTGAGTATATAGTTGATGTATTCTATCATAGAAGTACTTCCATTTTAAAAGTCTATTTCTCCTCCATCCTGAAAGCAATTAATCTGCAAGACAGATTACGCAGATCAACAGTATGAAGGTTCTCATTACATAACCAAAGGATTTCTGAATGTGTCTGTTTTGTTACCTGGGTAAAAGGAGTGGTATTATTGATTCTTGTTTGGTTCCAATCTTGCAGCTGGAAAAGACCATCACCTACGAGAAGCTGAATGAGTGGACCAGTGAAGACATGATGGAATTGTATGAAGTGCAGCTGCACCTGCCCAAGTTCAAGCTGGAAGAGAGTTATGATCTCAAATCAACCCTGAGCAGTATGGGGATGAGCGATGCCTTTAACCAGAGCAAAGCCGATTTTTCCAGAATGTCTTTGGTGAGAAACCTATTTCTGTCCAATGTTTTCCACAAGGCTTTTGTGGAAATAAATGAACAAGGTACAGAGGCTGCAGCTGGCACTGGGAGTGAGGTGGGTTTTCGGATTAAGCTCCCTTCCATTGAATTCAATGCAGATCACCCATTCCTCTTCCTCATCAGGCACAACAAAAGCAATAGCATTCTCTTTTATGGAAGGTTCTCCTCCCCCTAAGTCCTGCATCATTCATCTAACAGTATGAAAAATGCACCATAAGATGGAAAAGCACAATTATCATAATACATTTGTGGTCTAGACCTTTTTCACTTTTGAATATTTGGAAATAAATCTGAAAATAATGCTTTCTGGTGACCCTTTCATGTCTGTACAGCTAGAGAGGATGAAAATTTTGAGTTTTACCACATAAAGATTTTGTCTTATTGTGACTTATTTACATTAAAGAAATACTGCTATTCAGTTGAATGCCTTATAGTAGTTACTTATCTTTAATTGTCACTTATCTTTCACATTCACCAGTTAGTGTAGAAAAATCTTTAAAAGAACAATGTGATACTCGTAAATGAGAAATTTCTGGAAAAAAAATTTTAACGGCTCCTGAAATACCACTGTAAAATTAACTCTGCTTCCTGCTGGCAATTTTAAAGAATAACTTATATTGACATTAATGAAAAAAACAATGAAACCTGTAACAGCATACCAATTTTTGTGTCATAGTTTTGACAAATGTACCCAGATAATGTAAAATGTTAACATTAGGGGACACTGTGTTAGGTGCATGTGGGAATTCTCTGTATTGTTTTTGCAATTATTCTGTGTATCTAAAATTATTCCAAATAAAAGCTTTATTAAAAATAGTTACTTTCTGTAAAAATTTATGCACACTAACAACCCTACTTTTAAAGTTCTTAGAGCTAGCATAAATTTCTCATTTATATGAATATGTATTCTATTAGTTATAAGAACACATTTTAATAATATTAAAATCTACAGAAAATTGGCTCTTTTTCTAATTTCTTTTATACTCTGATGCCTTAAAGCACAACTGATTTTTGATAGTTTCATCAACCGTTATTCTAATTTGAGATCTTCTTGGTATGTCTTCTATGTTCACCTAATAAAATGAACAATTGGAACTGATAAATAGTATATAAATTAGTATAAGAAAAATCTCTTTTCTGGATAAAATCTTGATCCTGCATTGTAGAATAGATACTGTGCAGAAGTTGTAATATATGTGGCCTTGTGTCATGTCTTCATGAAACATTGTTTCCATCTGTAATATGCCACATTTAATAACAATGAAGAAATCCTTTGTGAGTGTGTTCTAGTAGGTTAAAAGTACTTAAATACTGTCTGTCATTGAGAATTCCAAAAAAAGTAGGCAGCAAGTTAATTATGAGTTTGGAAGCCAGATTAAATGTAAACTAGCATAGCACTCTTTCAGAGACAGACAATCAGAAAATAATAAACCTAATATATTTCAAACAAACAGGAAGAACAGGAGAAAGTTGATCCTAGAAACCTCCCAACAGTAAGACTTATGCAGGCAGTCATTAATTTAATTAAATTTAACACTTTGTTAAAAGTGTTTACTTTGTGCTGAATAAAACCACACCATGGGCCTGGTCTCCTAGCATCATGGAGTTCACACACTACTTGGGAGGCAGACTTAAAGTGGGAATTAGTGCAAAGAATGATTATAAAATAAATTGCAGTAATTTTGGAGACGTGTGTGTGTGTGTGTGTGTGTGTGTGTGTGTTTTAAATGAAGAGGCTTTAAGCAGGGAACTTTGCAGGTATACCTGTTACTCTCCACTAGGGCAAATGTAGACAGCTCATCTTTTCAGAAGAGTTGCAAACTTTAGGAGAAGCAAACAATCATAGTCTGTTAACTTCATTTATTCTCAAGCAAAACTAAAATATTTTAGGGAAGCATCTGAGGTGATTATTTATTTTGAAGAACTCCCTTTGTAAATAGTATGCCCATTTATGTAAACTATAGACCTTCAATATATACATATTTTAATGCACACACAGGTATCTTGTAGGGAATGCAACGCATTTTACTCCTTGCTTTCTATAACTCTGAGTTACTTGATTTTGTACATTGACGTGTGTCACTCTTACATTTCTAGAATATAGCTGATGAGAACTGTCCTCTGGGTTAAGCCTGGAATGGAATAGGAACCATATCTTTGCAGAATTGAAAACAGCATGGAAAAGTGTAAGGAGTGATATCACCAGGATGGTAGAGTAGGAAAAAAATGGGTTTCACTCTCTGCCACATATACACACAAAAAAATGACAACCATCCAGTGGCAAAATTACTACCAGATATCCCAGAACTTAAAACAAAGGCTGTAACATCTTTGGGTCACACAGCAGAGAAAAATCCTGGAGCTGAGGGCAAGAAGAATACATACCTCTGACTGTGAGTCCTCTTCCCCAGCTGAACTGAGAAGGGCTATGAAGTTCCCCGGGTCTGTAAGTCACAGTTGCTTGACTAGAAGAAGGGCTACCAGGGCAAGTGGCCCATCTTTCCTCTCCACATTGGGTTCCTGCCTCACCTCCTGGGAAGTGTGGCCAAGGACTGAAACTGATTGCTGGGTTGGAAACTCCTGGAGCTAAGTAAAGACCAAAAGAAATCTGGTGACTCTCCGACAAGGGAAGCACCATATCTGAGAGGTTTCATAACCACCAGCCATACTGCAAGAGACAGCTAAACTGATACTCCAGGACAGAGTCCAGGCCCCCTTCCCACACAGTCTAGGTGCATCCATGGGGTCCCCTTCAGGGCCATTTAACTGGAACAAAATTTTACTTTGCAAGACCTGCAGCAACCTGGGCTTGGGCTGCCATCTTGTGTCTAAATGAGGAATTGACTCAGACCTAAGGGAATAAGGTGGTCCAGAGTAAAACTGCATAAACAGGCATAACCTTAAAAAGACAGACACAAACTAAGTTAGATGGTGAAGACTTGAATAAAGACCAAACTCTTCAATGCATCCATAAAATCAACAGCAGAGGCTGGAGATGTAGTTTTGTGGTAAAATGTCTCATTCTTTTCCCTACCTCCACCGTCCTAGGTCTGCCCCACTGCTAAATGACCTGCCTCTGTAAACAGCACTTCAAATCATTTGTTCCCTCCTGAATATTGACTGGAAGGTCCTTCTTGATAAGCTTACATACAAAATGGGAGACCTATTCAAAAATACTAAACAGCAGCCAATAACAGACACAAGAGAAAGTGAGAAGGACTTTCAGAGAGATGACAAGTAGTAAGCCTATATTCGAGGTTCTGCAGGGAATTAGAAGAGAAGGCTGTAAAAAGGAATTACAGGAAATAAGAAAGATATTTTGGAAATTAAATTAAAAAACAGTAGAAAGTTTGAAAGATAAAACCATAGACATTGTACTATTGAGACTTCATTGCTGTTGCTTGTGGCTTCAAACCTTACAGTCCATGGTTATCTGACTCTATTGTTTCTGGGCCTAGAGTGAGACAAAACATAAGGGTGAAAGAGCAAGGCGGAGCACAGTGGTTCACCTCATGGCAGGTAGGCAGCAGAGCAGCAATAAGAAGGGGACAGAGCCAAGATATAGCCATCAAAGGCATACCCCCAGCGATGTACTTCCTCAAAGTAGGCCCCACCTTCCACACTTCCACCACTTCCCAATAGACTATTCAAATATTGAATCCATCAATGGATTAAATCATTAAGTCACAGCCCTCTTGATTTAATCATCTCCGAACAGCCCTCACAGACATGCCAGAGGTGGGCTTTACTAACCTCCTAGGATAGTAATGCAAGAAAGTTGGCAATCAATATTGACCATCACAGGTATTTCCCAGGAAACTGATCCTAATATTAAAGTGATTGAAATTTGATAGAGGAAAAATTACAGTAGGAAGTTGGAGACTGGGTGACAAAAGTTCTTGCTGGTCCCTCCTACAGTGAGCAGTACTGCCCTTCACAAACTATTTTTCAAATATATTCTGAGATTGACATGACCTGAAGAGAGCTGGAAAGTTCCAGAGGAGATGATCAACCCAAGTATTCTAGTGTCTAACCAATAAGAAGCACAGAAAAAGAAAACTGTTATCCTGGGGAAATTAACAAAGAAGTGTCATAAGAAATCTTGAATTGTTGGATTAAAAGGACCCACCAAGTACTCAGTAAAATGATGAACTGAACCTGTAGGACACATTCATGGTGGTATTTCAGAATATCAGGGACACTGGTAAGATTTCATAAGCTTCCAAAGAGTGGGGGAAGATAAAGGAAAGATGGTGCTGGAATCTGCTTGTCATCAGCTTCTTACTGGCAAAACTGAAGGATGCACAGCAATGAAGCAATGCTTTAGGACTTTGAAGGTAAAAGGATTTGCAACTTAGAGTGTAGACTACCACACAATCAATAATATATACTGTTAGAGTGAAGATATTTTTAGGTTTGTAAGAAATCAGTTTGTGTGTTCTGTCTTTGAAAGTTTTGCTCCATCAAAACAAGGGATTAAGCCATGAAGCAGAAAAAATACTGGTGTTGAAAGCAAAGAACACTGGCACGGAGCTATCTCAGATGAGACAGCTATGCAGCACCTGAAAAGAGTGATGGATTCAGAAAAGCATAGTTTCGATAATGTGACTGATAAACAGGACTTGAAAACACAATAGATTTAGGAAGCGAAGAGCAATGCACTTGCCTTCCAGTGAAATATGTCTTAGAAAAGAAAGGTGAATACAATCTTAAATGCTGGTCCAATACATAGCATGATATATTTGGGACTTAAATTATCTATCCCAGTTTTGTCACTAGTATGGCCTAATAATAGCAAAACTATTTTGGGTCGGTACCATCATTCATATGGACCCTGTCTCAGGGAGCATGAAACCAGATCAATGTCCTGATTTCTAGTTTAGCATTTTCCACCTAGCCTGTTTCTTCCTATGGAATTGAAGGCAACATCTATCTGTGTTAGTCATATTTTTGTAACTGTAACAATGTATCTGAGATAAAAACCTTAAAAAGAGGACAGTTTTATTTTGGTGCAAGGCTTCAGAAGATTCAGGTCATCATCACTTGGCACCAATGATTTGGGCCTGAGGTGAGAGTGAACATCACTGCAGAGAGTGCGAGGTTGGAGAAAAGCTGCTCACCTTATGTCCAGAAGGAAAAAAGGAAGAAGAGGTCAGAGGAGAAAGGGAAAAAAAAAAGAGATGGGGAGATTAGAAACAAGATATAGACCCCAAGGTCATGCTTCAGAAGATCTACTCCCTTCAACTAAGAACTTAGAGGCAGAAAGACACCAAGCAATTTTTTGAAGATCATGAGCATAGTAAATCTCAGAATTTGTGTTCAAAACCACTGGCTCACAATTTACTCTAATATTATACTGAAAGAGAAGTATAAAATCCTGCAGTATAAAAACAAATTCTGAGAAAGAGAATGAAATGTTTAGCTGCAAGCAGTTTGAACAAAAGATAGGAAAAGTCCCATGATGTATGACAAAGAAATTATTTCTCTATTTAATTTCCACCATATTTTCTGCATTTATATGACATAATGGAGATATTCATTGACATCATTATTATTTCACAGACTATACTAACTAAATATAGTTTGAACTTTTTGGAGAGTTGATCATTTTCTAAAATATTTACAATGGTAACCAGTTGCCATATGTCGTTATGAACATTTAATGTGATTAATTAAATTTAAATAAAGTTAAATGTTTAGTTCCTTAGGTGGTAACCTCATTTCTGCAATGTCCAGAATGGCACCACATAAAGCTATTGAGCATCAGCAATGATCACAGTAATTTCTGACACAGAGG